TTGATGAAAGTGAAAGAAGAGAGTGAAAAAGTTGGCTTAAAGCTCAACATTCAGAAAACTAAGGTCATGGCATCCAGTCCCATCACTTCATGGCAAATAGATGGGGAAACGGTGGAAACAGTGGCTGACTTTATTTTTCTGTGCTCCAAAATCACTGCGGATGGTAATTGTAGCCATGAAATTAAAAGACGCTTACTCCTTGGAAGGAAAGTTATGACCAACCTAGACAGCATATTAAAAAGCAGAGACATTACTTTGCCAACAAAGGTCCGTCTAGTCAAGGCTATGGTTTTTCATGTATGGATGTCAGAATTGGACTATAAAGAAAGCTGAGTGCCAAAGAATTGATGCTTTTGAACTGTGGTGTTGGAGAAGACTCTTTTTTCTTTTTTTTTTTTTTTAGTTGGACGCTAATTACTTTACAATATTGTAGTGGCTTTTGTCATACATTGACATGAATCAGCCATGGATTTACATGCATTCCCCATCCCGATCGCCCCTCCCACCTCCCTCTCCACCCGATTCCTCTGGGTCTTCCCAGTGCACCAGGCCTGAACACTTGTCTCATGCATCCCATTATACAGAGTCAAGTAAGCCAGAAAGATAAAGACCAATACAGTATACTAATGCATATATATGGAATTTAGAAAGATGGTAATGATAACCCTATATGCAAAACAGAAAAAGAGACACAGATGTACAGAACAGAATTTTGGACTCTGTGGGAGAAGGCGAGGGTGGGATGTTGGAGAAGACTCTTGAGAGTCCCTTGGGCTGCAAGAAGATCCAACCAGTCCATCCTAAAGGAGATCAGTCCTGGGTGTTCATTGGAAGGAAAGATGTTGAAGTTGAAACTCCAATACTTTGGCCACCTGATGCAAGGAGCTGGCTCACTGGAGAGGACCCTGATGCTGGGAAAGATTGAGGGCAGGAGGAGAAGGGGACAACAGGATGAGATGGTTGGATGGCATCACTGACTCAATGGACATGTGTTTGGGTGGACTCTGGGAGTTGGTAATGGACAGGGAGGCCTGGCGTGCTGTGGTTCATGGGGTCGCAAAGAGTCGGATATGACTGAGCGACTAAACTGAACCTAACTGAATGCCATCCAATCATCTCATTTTCTCTTGTACCCTTTTCCTCCTGCCTTAAGTCGTTCCCAAAATCAAGGTCTTTTCCAACCATTTGACTCTTTGGATCAGGTAACCCACATATTGGAGCTTCAGCTTCAGCATCAGTCTTTCCAATGAATATTCAGGACTGATTTCTTTTAGGATTCACTGGTTTGATCTCCTTGCTGCCCAAGAGACTCTCAAGCGTCTTCTCCAGCACCACAGGTTGAAAACATCGATCCTTTGGACTCAGTCTTCTTTATGTACAATTCTTACATCTGTACATGATGACTGGAAAAACCATATTTTGACTATACAGACCCTTGTTGGCAAAGTGATGTCTCTGCTCTTTAGTACTCTAAGCTTGTCGTAGCTTTTCTTCTTTTACTTTCATGGTTGCAGTCACCATCCACAGTGGTTTTGGGACCCAATAAAATAAAGTCTGTCAGTTTCCATTTTTTCCCCATTTGCCATGAAGTGATGGGACCAGATGCCATGATCTTAGTTTTTTGAATATTGAGTTTTCAACTGTTTTTTTCACTTTCTTATTTCACCTTCATCAAGAAGCTCTTTAGTTCCTCTTCACTTTCTGCCATTAGAGTGATATAATCTGCATATTCAAGGTTGTTGATGTTTCTGCCAACAATCTTGATTTCAGCTTATGATTCATCCAGCCCAGCGTTTCACATGATGTACTCTGCATGTAAGTTAAATAAGTGGCGCGACAATATATAGCCTTGACATACTCCTTTCCCAATTTTGAACCCATCAGTTGTTCTATGTCTGGTTCTAACTGTTGCTGTTTGACCTGCATATAGGTTTCTCAGGAAGCAGGTAAGGTGGGCTGCTCTTTCCATCTCTTTAAGAATGTTCCACAGTTTTCTGTGATCCACACAGTCAAAGGTTTTAGTATAGTCATTTAGGCAGATGTTTTTCTGAAATTATCTTGCTTTTCCTGTGATGCAACAGGTGTTGGCAATTTAATTTCTGGGTCCTCTGCATTTTCTAAATCCAGCTTTTGCATCTGGACACTCTATTCATATACTGTTGAAACCTAGGAAAAGGATTTTTAGTATCGCCTTGCTAATATGTGAAATAAGTGCAGTTGTGTGGCAGTTTGAACATTCTTTGCCATTGCCCTTCTTTTGGATTGGAATGTAAACTGACCTTCTTGGCAAATAGAAGTGGATAACGTAGAAACAATTACAGATTTTATTTTCCTGGGCTCCAAAATCACTGGGGTTGGTGACTGCTGCCATGAGATTAACAGACGCTTGTTTTTTGGAAGGAAAGTGATGACAAACATGAACAGATTATTGAAAAGCAGAGACATCACTTTGCTGACAAAGACCTGTGTAGTCAAAGCTATGGTTTTTCCAGTCGTCATGTATGGATGTGAGAGCTGGACCATAAAGAAGGCTGACTGGTGAAGAACTGATGCTTTTGAACTGTCGTGTTGGAGAAGGCTCTTGTGACTCCCTTGGACTGCAAGATCAAACCAGTCAATACTAAAGGAAATCAACTCTGAATATTCATTGGAAGGACTGATGCTGAAGCTGAGGCTCCAAAACTTTGCCCACTTGATGCAAAGAACTGACTCATTGGAAAAGACCCCGGTGCTGGGAAAGACTGTAAGCAGGAGGAGAAGGGGACACAGAGGATGAGATGGTTAGACAGAGTCATTCCCAAAATGCACATGAATTTGAACAAACTCTGAGAGAGAGTGGAGGACAGATGAGCTTGGCATGCTGCAGTTCTTGGGGTCCCAAAGAGTCAGACACGACAGCCACTGAGCAACAAGGACAACCAGTAAAACATGTTTCTTCCGCTTTAGACTTTGTGTAATAAGTCACTGCTGACAAATAACATGCTGACAGTTTCATTTTAATATGTTGTTTCAGGCTTACGATATGTGAGGTACATAACATACAACACATCATGTACACCAAAGGGATATATAATGTTTGGGAAGAGGATCTAAGGGACAAACCTTGTAGATTCCATTACTGTGTTTCCAGACTTTGAAAGTGTGTTTACAGGATTCTTTCTTGACAGCAACATAGACAGTCCTGATGGCTTGACATAGTGCTATGTTTTTTTTTTAATAAATGGATAAATAAGCAGTTAACTTAAATAAATTACTGGAATAAATACTAGAATTACCTAGCATTCAGCTCTTTATGATGACTACTACTAAAATTCTGTTTAGAATAAAATTCCAGTACATGTCGCAGATACACAGAGAGTCAATATCAATCACTGCAAATATAACACAATTCTAAACATTACCTTGTGTTTGCTTCTTATTTCCCTGTATACCAATGCTTAAGATGATAACTTTCTCTTTCATTTAAAAGATAGCAATTGGGCTTTTTTTTTAATATTAATTGAGATAATGGCTAATACTGCAAAGGACACAGGTTTAATCCCTCAGTCAGGAAGATCCTCTGGCGAAGAAAATGGCAACCCACTTCAATATTCTTGCCTGAGAAATCCCATGGACAGAGGATACTGGCAGTCTACAGTAGAGTCAGACACGACTTTGTGACTAAAAATAATGACAGCAAAAGGCTAATGCTAGGAACACCTCAAGAGGTGGAGTTGTCTTTCCCAATGACCTTCAAAGAAGATCCAGGTTCTTCATCCCCCAACTCCCAGTCTCGAGTTTCTGTGCCTCCGTCAAGAGCGCTGTGTCTGGTCTCTGCGATACTGGCGAGACGGAGCCTCGGCAGGATGATAACCAGCCTCTGCAGTGCAGTAGCCATCTAGTGCACATGATTCTAATTTACTTAGTGGTCTTATTGGGCAGAATTATAAGGAATAGACTTTTCAAGAAGATCTGCCAATCCCTGTGAACCCTGTCTCTTACTCATTCAACTGAGGCTGGAGGCATGAAAGGGAGATATATATCTTTTACAGTGAATATGCGTGTGAGCTAAGTAGCTTCAGTCGTGCCTGACTCTTAACAGCCCCATGGACTATAGCCCACCAGGCTTGACTGTCCACGGGATTCTCCAGGCAAGAATACTGGAGTGGGTTGCCATGCCCTCCTCCAGGGGATCTTCCCGACCCAGGGATCAAGCCCACATCTCTATTCCGTCTGCACTGGCAGGCGGGTTCTTTACCACCTGGGAGGCACAGGAAATATACTAGAATAAAGTGAAATAAAGGGGGGGTTCTTGCTAGTGTATTTGGTAAATTTACAAGGACTCCTTTGCTTGATATTGCAAGGGGCCCTCGCTCATTTAATCAATAAGTGTTTTTGAATGGCATTCTGAAGCCAAGCAATATAAATATCAAAATAGATAATGGGTGAACAAGAAAGGAAAGGAACTTGTGTTTATCAAAGTTTGAAATACAACACATGATTTTACATTTATTCTTTTTTTATGAATTTATTTATATATATCAGTATTTATTCACTACCTCTACAATTTTACATACTATGATGACAGAGTTATAGGGTGATACAAGTACATAAAACATGTACAAAAAAACTATTTGACCCACTAATATTCCCTTATTACTTAGCAACTTTATTAAACCTGTTGTTTAAAAAATGTACTGGAATCATAGGATGGTAGGTTGAATTTGACATAGGTGGAGGGATTGCTCAGTGAATGCTATCTCACAGGAGGCTTACCCAAGGAAAGAGGTATAAAAAGACCCTCTCTGCAAAACAGCAAAGTGACCATATTGCTCCCCTTTCTTAGTCTGAAGACAAATTAAGATAACTGATGACTACTTTCAACACTCAATTTAGGCACAGAGGTAAGTAACTGGGAATATCCAGAAGAGACTGTAATCATGAGACTACAAGCATCTATCAGTACCTGAGCTTCAGCTCTCTGAATCTTTACATGTGTAGTTTCGGTTGAAAACACTGTATCACTCAGAACGCAGTTTAGTACTGATTGCTTTTCCTATGGCAACTTTCACATCCTTATTTCTTAAACTGTAAATCAGTGGGTTTAGCATGTGGATGACGACTGTGTAGAAGACAGAGGCTATTTTGTCTGTGTCCATGGAGTAACTCGAGCTGGGTCTGAAATACATGAACAGGAGCGTGCCGTGAAATATAGCCACAGCGGTTAAATGGGAGGCACAGGTAGAGAAAGCTTTGCGTCGCCCCTCGGCTGAGTTCATCCTGAGGATGGTTGCTATGATGTAGGTATAGGAGAGGAGGACAGTGATAATGCTGGTCCCCACAACACAGCTACTGGATACGAAGAGCATTATCTCATTGATGGATGTATCTGACGAGGAGAGGGCTAGCAAGGCTGGGAAGTCACAGAAAAAGTGATTGATGACATTAGAACTGCAAAATGATAATCGAAATGTACAACAGGTGTGGATTGCTGAATCTACCAAACCTTCCACATAGACAACAGATATTAGCTGGGTACAGAGTTTTCTGGACATGGAAACTGTATAAAGAAGTGGATTACAAATGGCTACATAACGGTCATAAGCCATGACAGCCAACATAAGACATTCCACATCTGCAAAAGTCCCCCAGAAATACATCTGCACGGCACACAAGTCAAATGGAATCCTTTTCTGCTCAGAGAGGAAATCAGCCAGCATCTTGGGAGAGACAGCAGAGGAGTAGCAGACGTCGCAGAAGGAAAGATTGCTCAGGAGGTAATACATGGGCGTGTGCAGTCTGGGGTCCACCTTGATCAGAAGGATCATCCCTGCATTGGCAACCACGGTCACGCCGTAAACCAGCAGGAAGACCGCGAAGAGCGCCTGCTGCACCTGGCTGTCGTCTGAAAGTCCTAGGAAGGTGAAGTCAGGAGCCACACTGCAGTTCTCAGCAGTCATCACTCAGGAATGCTGGGAAATTCCTGGCTGTGAAAGAGGAAATGGAAATGGAGGGTCAATGCATCAATTTACTACTTTTATAGATAAACTCCTGGTCCTTTTGTAGATTTCAGTAATCAAGAAAAGAGACAGGCCTTCCTAGGACTGCATGAGGCCAACAGACTCTGAGAAATATTCTCCAATTTTATATATAAATGAAAAAATAATGTTGACAACAATACATTTACAAAGCACTGTACAGTTTTGCAGTGCCCTTGCAACCAAACTAAATCAGACTGTTTCCAATCCAACTTGTGTAGTATTTATGACCATGTTTGTGGCTTTCCTGGTGGCTGAGATGTAAAGAATTTGCCTGCAACGCAGGTGACCTGGGTTTGATCCCTGGGTCGGGAAGATCTCCTGGAGAAGGGAATGGCTATCCACTGCAGTATTCTTGCTGGAGAATTTCATGAACGGAGGATCCTGGTGGGCTCTAGAGTCCATGGGGTCGCAGAGTCAGGCACGACAGGATGGCTAACACTTTGCTGCTTCTGTCTAACACTAACAAAATGATGTGCTCTGAGCGAACCAAGGGTCTAACAATTAGGTGGTTCACATAACTTGTCTTCTGACAAGATTGCTGGGTGTTGTTTTGTTTTTCAGTGATGTAGAAATGTTGCTCAGAGAAGGCACTGGCACCCCACTCCAGTACTCTCGCCTGGAAAATCCCATGGACAGAGGAGCCTGGTAGTCTGCAGTCCATGGGGTCGCTAGGAGTCCGACACGACTTCACTTTCACTTTGCACTTTCATGCATTGGAGAAGGAAATGGCAACCCACTCCAGTGTTCTTGCCTGGAGAATCCCAGGGATGGGGGAGCCTGGTGGCCTGCCATCTCTGGGGTCGCACAGAGTTGGACATGACTGAAGCGACTTAGCAGCAGCAGAAATGTTATATCCTGTGTTAGAGAAGAGTAGTAAGTAAGAAGCACAGGTGATGAATATATTGGTTTATTATTCCCCCTGTGGAGAAGGCAGGACTATAGCTAGTTTCTGAATATAAGAAGTCTTCACTTCCCCATTAACCTCTCAAGTCCCTCCAACCTTAGCATAGGAGGGATAGATGGTTCATGATTCTGCTGGAACAGAGAGGGTGGTGATTTTTGGAAAAGAGGGTGCAAGGGTCTCTATGAACTAAATGCTGAAATGCTGACCATTCTTCTGTTTGGAAGTTGCAGTTATACTAGGGAGATAAGGAAGAACATTTGAGATCCAGTTGCAGAGATGCTGGTAGCAAGGGTCATAGAGGCAAGAAAGAAGGCTTGGTTTGCTGCATGAGTCCTTTCTGCCCTAACCTACTCCCTTCCACACTTTGTATTCTGCCATAACGGTTTTGTAAGACACATAACATAAATACTGTCATGGTCAGACTTCTGTAACCTCAGAGATGTTCACATCTGAGCTGTGGCCCCACTTCAATTCCCTAAAAATTTTAATATTGTTTGATTGTTTTATTTGAGCCACATTTCTCTTCAGTATCTCTGAGTTCTGCCTTTCTTTGTTTTAAGAATTATTAGTCTTTGGAAGGACAATGGAATTCTATGTCCCACTGTTATATTTTACCCAAACCAATTATGTGATATATAATGTCATTGGTTAGTCAGTTCAGTCACTCAGTTGGGTCTGACTCTTTGTGACCCCACGGGCTGCAGCACACCAGGCCTCCCTGTCCATCACCAACTCCCAGAGCTTGCTCAAACTCATGTCCACTGAGTTGGAGATGTCACCAACCATCTCATCCTCTGTCATTCCCTTCTCCTCCACTTGTTCTCTTATGTTCTAGGAGAATTTAAAAAACAGGAGTTGAATGTAGATGAGGGATAGAGAAGAGCATTGGAACAGTGGTCTAGTAATCACTGTGCAGGTTTCCAATCCTAGGACTTAACTCGTATATCTGCTTAGAAAGACATAATTAAGCAAAAATACTTTCCTTTAAAGCTTAAAGCATTTACAGAAATATAATATGCGTGTTATATATAATGCATAATATAACAGGTAAATTTTTAAAAGAGCAAAAAACATCTGACCATTTCCATAATGCATGTTTGCTCCTTTTTTATTCCCTATTTATATGTATTTAAAGTAAACAAGTTGTACAACTAGCTAAAATAAAAATGTGTGTACTATTTCATATGTTCCTTTGTTTATATAAAATACCTGCTTTCAAAAAAGCATTAAAAAAATAAGAAATCTCAAATATAAATCAAAGAAACAACAAAGATACCAGGACCTGTCCCAGAACTCCTGACTTGCTCGTTGCGTGCAGTTCTGTCTGCAGGAGGGCTCAGCATTGCCTCCTGCCTGACCCAGATTATATAATCATCTCTGAGTCTGGTCCCTGGGTGGCGAACCCTTAGTCTCTCAGGAATAAGTAACAGATATGGTGTAATTTATCATCTGATATTTCATACAAGTGAGCTGATTGCACATGGAACATAGACCTTTAGAGTAGTATGTCTTTGGTCCCCCTCTATCTTAATGCCCCATATTGCACTTATTCAGAAACAGTGAATGCCTCTGATCTGCAACCATTCCTAATTTCCAGTTCACCAATCCTTACGTAGCCACTTTGTTTTCATTCAATACATTAGAAAACAAATGCATACCCATTCAGCCGCACACACTTACATAGACACACAAACACCAACACTCTCCATTAAACACATTCATGAAACAAAGATTTTGTAAAAACATCAAAAATTTCAACATATGCACATTCTGTAGGGATAACTAGATGCTTCCTACACTATTTCACTTTTAGTTTTTAAATAAAAATGTTGTTAGGATTATGTGTATGTACAGGGAAGCCTGATGTGCTTAAATGCATGGGGTCGCAAGAGTTGGACACAGTGACTGAATAACAGCAAGGCTTTTTATATTATGTCATAATTACAGTCTGTTAGAAATAATTGTAATAATTATTTAATTGACATTGGTCACTTCCATTATATGGCAAGATTCATTAGTATAAAAGCAGATGGAGTCACCATGAAAGAAAGCCCACATAGAGTGCAACAGCAACTTAGAAAACACTAATTTTCAGAAAATTAATTTAAAAAAATTAACACATATCAGTACTGAAGAAACACAAATTTGACAAATGAAGAGTCTGAGAATGTTCCACAAATAAGGAGTATTAAACAGAAGTTTAAGATATAAAATGAAACTTGTGGCATTTAGGAAATCATACATATTGCTAGGATTGGAAGATAGGATAAATACAAATGGAATCACACAACATTAGTCAAACCAATTTTGATTTTCATAAATTATTGTGTATATGAGCAAATTTTCAGTGGAACCATTTTTTATTTTTACATTTCATCAGAGCCTCTTGCACATCTTTGATCCGTAGGCTGTAAATCAGAGGATTTAACATGGGAATCACAAGGGTATAAAACAAGGAGGTCATTTTGTCTTTGTCTAGAGAGTAGGAAGTACTTGACCTGAAATACATGAAGAGCAGGGTTCCCTGGAAAATTGCCACAGCAGTTAGGTGGGAGGTGCAGGTGGAGAAAGCCTTGAACCTCCCTTCAGCAGAGTGGATCTTTATCACTGCTAGGATGATGTAACAGTAAGACACAAAGAGACCTGAAAGGGTAATCAGTTCAATGAAGCCCAAAATGAGAAATATGACTAACTCACTGACCTGTGTATCTGAGCAAGATAGCAAGAGGAGAGGAGGAATGTCGCAGAAGAAATGGTTAGTTTCGTTTGATCCACAGAAGCGTAAGTGGAAGGTTAATATTCTATTTATCAAAGCATCTATAATTCCCACCATATAAACCCCAGCCATCAGCAACGAGCACACCTTGCCAGACATCGTGACTGTATAAAGCAAGGGGTTGCTAATAGCCATGTGCCGATCATGGGCCATGACTGCCAACAGCAGACACTCAGAACCTGCCAAGGCACAGAAGATCAGGAACTGCAGAGCACAGCCACGGAAGGAGATTGATTTGTTCTTGATGAGGAAGCCTGCCGGCATCCTGGGTCCACTGTCTGTGGAATAGCAGAGGCCACTGAAGGAGAGGTGGCTGAGGAAACAGTACATGGGTGTGTGCAGCTGGGGGTCTGTTCTAAGTAAAACAATCACCCTGAGATGTGCAACAAGAATAATGAGATAAACAACCAGAAACGTGGTAAATAGAGTCACTTTGATTACAGGGCTACTACTAATTCCCCAGAGAAGGAGTGCAATTTTCCCCATCCATTCTTTATTCTTCTTGTAAAAATGCTCCAGAAATGACTGAGACAATGACAGATCAATGTTTTCACTCTTTTTGAGACAAAGTATTATCTGTAAACCAGATATAATTCATTTCAGTACATTTTATTATGAGAAAATAGCCCATCCAAATTTCCTCACTGTTTGATTTCAAAAGGTTAAGTGTGGGATAGGAGTTTTGAGAAAGTCTGACTCTAAATTTGGATGTCATCTATGATGTATGTGACTAGATTGCTTTATCTCAGCAATCAGTTCTTTACTGAAAGCTCATTGCATGTCAAACATAATATGAAAGTAACACCTGAAGACAAGGTTGGAGTATTCAACCTTATATTTTAAAGATACCTATCCAACTAAGAATACAAGTGATTACACTTCTTGAGTACTTATATATCATAATGTGTTTATTT